ATATTTCTTGTTGTTGCAATAATTGTACACTGTTTAGGTAATATTGCTATTGATACTCAGTTACTTTGGAAGTCTTGAGCCAACTATAGTATCATTTGGAGCACATTATTTGTCATTTCAGAATTTACTTGTGATTAAAAGCATATTCATCCCTATCAAACTTAGTATTTTACTAAGCCTAACGTACCCACCCATTTGTCCCGCTGAACTACCAGTGTCTAGTTTCTACGGTATCAAACTGGGCACTAAAAACACTTTTTCTGTTGTCAATACATTTAAGATTTAAAACACCTAATAAATCTTAGGTAATTCATCAACCAAACTCAGGGGTGAATAAAATTCTATTCCATTTTTCTTACTACTCACCCCCTGAGATTTAAAGGCATAACACACTATATGGAAATAGGTGACCTTCCTCTACTTTGCATCAATGATAGAATGTACAGCGTTCTTCCAGCAGGACGGAATCAGCCCATTTGGGGACGCTCGATTTCTATTAATTAAAGTACTTTTTGTGATTCTGGTAGGATTTTTAGTGCATCTGGAATAATGTGCAGATTATGAGCTTTCAGCGCATTTTCTATTCGGAACTGTAAGCCCACCCAGTAGCAAGATATGACGACTTAAAAAGAAATATATTCCAGTCGAGAAAATGATCTCTGTGGACGACCACGTTTCGGTGCTCGCCACCACTTTCGATGGGAAAAATGATTATTCGTGGAGTTATTCCCAATTCGGTGACCAGTGGCAGTCCGCCAGGTGTTATGGGATTGTAAAAAATATAATAAAATCCAGTAATACCGTCACAGTGAAGTGGGACATTGATGGGAATATAACAAAAATTGACCCAAATCTATTACAGATAGAAAGATTTTCTAACGAAACCAAGGAAGGTGAGTGTTTTATTTTTATCCATTCAAAAATGAAAATGCAAAACTCTTTCCTTGAACAGTATTACTCTTTTTCTTGTACCCTGTACTCTGGCAATATCACCAGTTGGGGATCGTTATAAAGAATTTCTTGGGCTCCTTACCGCTTGAAAAATAAACAGCAATCCAAAATGATATATTTTTAGATAGAACGCTCTATACAGTGAAGAACTTCTACTACTGCATACGTTTATCTCATTGTCTGTGCCACCACTGAGTTTCATATAGAAATAAATGTATCCTCAGACTTTCAAAAGCTCTAGCTCACTTGTTGCGACTGATTTTTCAATACGTCCTGCTAGAAGCACACTTTGAAGTTCTGGACGGACAAGCACGCGTCCTGCCAGTAGGAAGTACAAAAGTACTTCTGAAAGCGCTTCCAGCAGGACAACCGCTTGTACGTTCAATACGTCCTGCTAGAAGGACACTTTGAAGTTCTGGAAGGATGAGCGCGCGTCCTGCCAGTAGGACGTACAAAAGTACTCCTGGAAGCGCTTCCAGCAGGACAACTGCTTGTACGTTCTATCATTAAAACTCCAAGAAAGCTCAAGCTATAGGTACTAACAAATGATACCAATGAAAAAAATATAGCGAACAAAATGAGGCTTGGGAGAAAATCCCTTTTTTTTGTAGCCCAAATTCCACTAATCGAAAGCTTGTCGGTCACATATAAGATGGAAAAAATCTCGAGGAACAGAGCTGCTTTCTTTATTGACTCGGCCGTTACTTGATCCATAGCAAATGTATAAATGAAGCTACTGTGTTAGCGAAACATGTCGTGTGATTAAGAATTTTGTGAAAATCTCATCGTTTGTGAAGTTTTACCATGAACAAAGCAACGTTGCCACAGATCTTAGATCTGAGATAAATCAGAATAAATAAGTTCCGAATTGACTTATCGATGGATATTCGTATCGTTTTCCTCAAGAGAACTCGAGAATCTGTGAGGAAGTGTTCGAAAAAATATCAAGATTAGGTTGCTCAACGATGATTGTTGAGAATGGAAAGTAACACGTTAAAACAAGATAATTACTTGAAAGTGGTGATGAATTATCAGAATAGAAAAATGGAATGAAGGAAATCAACAAATACTGAAAAGCACAAATACTACAGTAGGTATATACAGGGTGTTGCAAAATTCGACCGACAACGCTTGACAGGTGATAGCCCTCGTGATTTCATAATCACTGAGATAGGGACATACAGTCTTCAAGTGTTCAGTTCTCGAGATACAGGGCGTTGAAGTCAAGAGATTAAAATAGTTTTTTCGCAATATCTCAAGAAATATTGAATATAATACATTCAAATTTGGTATATGGTTTCATCTTTCAATGGTTAATTTTTTGACCAGAAAAACATTACGAGAATTTTATCCAGAGGTAAGCTACAGAGGGTTGTCGTAACTTTCCTCCCATATTTTCTACGCCACTGATGACATTTCAATTATTTCCAATTTCTCGAATTGATTGTTCAATTATGTTGAAAAAATGCATCACCTTCAACTGAGCTAAAGTGAACAGTTATCTACCAAAATAGAAGTTTGCATAATAACTTTTCATCTTCCTCAGTAGTAGAAAATTACAAAAACTTTTGTTTTCTCTTTATGCGTGGAATTACTTCTTCTGTTCAGCTATAGAATGAGATCTGAATAGTATCTGATCTAATCAACACCAGAAAAATATTTTTGTAATTTTCTACTACTGAAAATGATGAAATATCACTATGCAATCTTCTATTTTGGGTCGAATATCTCGAAAATGTTCATTCCAGCTCAGTTGAAGGTGATGCATTTTCTGAACAAAATTGAACAATGAATTCGAGGAATTGGAAATAATCGAAATTTAATCAGTGGCGTAGAAAATATGGGAGGAAAAGTTGTCACAAACCCCCTGTAGGGCACCACTGGATGAAATGTCCGTAATGGCTTTCTGGTCAAAAAATAACCCATTCAAAGATGAAACCATATACCAAAGTTGAATGCATTATATTCAATTGTGCTTGAGATATTGAGAAACAATTATTTTTATTTCTCAACTTTAACGCCCTGTATCTCGAGAACTGAACACTTGAAGACATATGTCCCTATCTCAGTGATTATGAAATCACGAGGGCTATCACCTATCAAGCGTTGTCGGTCGAATTTCGCAACACCCTGTATATCTTCCAGATCAGCTTTATACAAATATTTCCGAATATTTCAGATAGCGACCCAGATTGTCAAATGTTTTTGATGATATAAACTAATTCAGAAATTATTCAGCGCAATATCCATTGATACGTGGTACTGCGAGACTATAGAGAGGAGCCCAGCAGTTTATTTTTGGAAAAAAAAATTAAATATTTGAAGAATAGGAAGAAATTTTGCTTTTGCCACAATTGAAAACTCCTATATGTCAAATTGGTTATTTCAGACTTTAACCTCAGGTATTAGGAATGTCATTTATGGTATCAGTATCATCTAATTTTTATATGGACGACTGAGTCAGTAAGATTTCAGTGGCGCTGATGGAACGAACGTACTTTCTCGATTTCTTCACATGTGTCGTTCAAATTTTCAGATGTAATTTCGTGTTAATTTATAGATCTGAATAAATATTTTGGGAATTTCTGTTAGACTTGAGCATATTGCTGTGGTCAATATAGTATATATTTATATTTTTATTCTGATAACACCCTGCATGCTTCATTGATGCTCATTCTGGTATCTATAAGCAGTTCCAAAATGATCATAGTAGATTCCAATTCAGAACTTATAGGAATTTTGTGAGCCTCAAATTAATTGAAGTAGGTACTTTTCGAAATTTTGGCAGGATTTGTCTTTCGTGCGTCAGAAATATTGTGGAGATTATGAGCTCAGCGCATTTTTCATTTGAAACTGTACCTCCACTTAGTCACAAAATATGACAAGTAGAAAATTGTTATTTTAGTCAAGAAGATGGTCACTACAGAAGACCACGTTTTGGTGCTTGCCAACACTTTAAACACGAAAAATCACAATTCGTATGGTTAATTTCAATTCTTTGACCAGTGGCAGTCTGCCATGAATTTACTACAGAAAGAAAGGCCTTTTAATATGATACCCTGTGAGTTGAGTTTCTATCCAATTGAAAATTAAAACACTCGGAAAAAGAGTTCAAGAACACCTCAATATCTCTGGATCAGATTCATAATACTTTGAGAATTACTTAGGATTAAAAGGTTGCCTTGGAAGTTATGATGCTGCAAGTACTTATATAAACCCTGTATCACCGAATATATTTCATTCTGCAGCAATTTCATCCATTGTCTGCTTTTCCTGGTTATACAGAGCGTTAAAATTTCAAAATTATTTTGTTTCTGATCACATTTCATGTGTACAGTCTGAGTCCATTAGGTTTCTCATTCTTGAGATAATGTTTGGAAACTTGTAACTGAAATCACAAATTGAATCTGTAGCGTTTTTTGATGTGTATATTGACATGAAAAGTTCTTCTCTTCTGTTGAGAATTTGAATCAAGTCTAGCGAACTATAAAAAATTACTTTTTTTCTCGAAAACGTTCTCACATGCGGAAACAAAAAAGTTCGTAGACCCAACAAGAAACTCATTTCGTAATCTACCAGTGGCGCACCACAAAAAGCTTATGCCATATCCCTGGACAAATATCTCCCTGTAGATTCTGACAATCACTCGGCATACTATATGATGTGAAACGTCAAACGTCCCTGATGTTTCGAATTCAATCTCAATTACTCTAAAAACTTCTGAAAAGAAGAAAATGGAAACATCTCGAAATTCCAACGCTCTGAGATCGGTAACGCAGCGTTTGCGGACATATTATGTGTATAAGAAATTTGATCTGAGAATTGAGCCTTTAAGATCTTTATAGCAAGTTTCAAAACATCCTGTATGAATAAAAACATATTATTTCCTGAGCTTTCAAGTGACGCCGTATTTAGTTTACGAATGATTTTTCAAAACGTCCTCCCAGAAGTACACTTTGAACTTCTGGTAGGACAAGTGCGCGTCCTGCCAGAAGGACACTTCGAACTTCTGGTTGGACAAGTGCACGTTCCACTTTCCCATTTGTTACCTGTCATCTCCGTTCTCAGAAGACACATCGACGTCTTTTCTCTCCAGCGGATCTGCGTAGTGCTCCATGTCGATGTCACTAACTTTGTCCTCCTGCAGTTGGCAGTGATCGAGGCAGCCGCGTCTACATATCTCCACCTAGAATAGACGAATTAACAGTTAATGTTGGGAACATTCAATGGAAGGACTCATCTATTCATCAAATACTCTTCATTTCCCAGAAATAATATCAATCACTCACAGGATAACATCATAGAAACATCAGTCAGGTTGATATTAGACTTTGAATGAATCTTGTAATTTTTTGTGTTGATGCACTCCTTCAGGAGGGGGATGTCAATAGGATGAAAACCGAGCGACAGATAAATTTGTGCTGCTGGCTCCTGAAGGCATCAATGTTTTGAAGGCTTATCATCAATTACCTATTTCGAAGCATTATTGGAATGATAGTGAAGCCATGCATGACGAGTAATCGTTTCGAGACAATTCTGAAATTTCTGCATTGTAACGATAATAGTCTCATTCCAAAGGATGATAATGACAAAATCAAGAAGATTCGACCATCATCAGATATACAGAATAGGAGATTCAAAGACTGATATGAAACAACAGGACGGACGAGTGTAGATGAACGTGTGATACTTTTCAAAGGCAAAGTACACTCTAACAAAATAATCCAATGAAACCCATGGAAAGTGGGTATAAACTGTGGTGCCTTGCCGATCAAAATGCCTATGTTGCAGCATTTGATATGAATCAAGGAAAAAATGAAGATCTGATGCAAGAATTCAAAGAGTTCGACCTTGAAGAGAGGGTTGTTCTTTCGCAAACTAAACCAGAGTGGGACCTCGAGTGGGACAAATAGAAGATTTCATATGCAGATGATCATTCAATTCATATCAGAATTCAAATTCCTATCCAAAGTAATCTTCTTCAATCACTTCAATCATTGTGTTTCAATTATCAGGTGAAATAGCGCAGGGTTGTTGGGGGGCAAGAAATAATGGTCGTTGATTCGAGCCCCTCGGGGACAATAACTTTTTTTATAATTATTTCATGTCACATGTGTTCAATTCGTTTTGTTTGAATTGTATTAATTTCAGGTATATGTAGGTTTCAATAAGCGTGAAGGAGAAATGAAGCAGCAAATTATAAGATAACATACTTCAAGTGGGAAACTGATAATGGAGGAAATTCTACTGAAAGACTAGGAAACAAACCAATGTTCTCAAAAATAAGAGGGGGCGGGGCCCAAAATTGTACAGATAGCAAATGGTTGGTACCAAACTATTAAAATACGAGTTTATGCTCTGTTCGCCTAATTGAAAAGATGATTGAAAAGAGGGGACTCTTCATAAAAACTAATAGAGCGTTTGAGAATATGTCTTTGGGAACAAATTCTATAGCAGAATGGACACAAATCTCGGCAAGTCAGATAGGCCTTGATACAAAAGAATTGTCTCCTCTGGCAAAACATTTAGTGAATGAACAAGAACTCATCAAGATTACTGGCCATGCAAATGACCAAACGCTGAAGCGATATTTAGTGAGTTATATGAGGGGCATCGAAATCAGTACAGCTATGAAAGCAACTTATTCTTCTGAGAACAACCATCTCCAAGATAATAATAAAAATATTGTTTATCAAAATTGTAGATCCCACACTATGAATAACTATAAGTAGGTAGTTGATTTTCTTGAAATTGACTTCTGTATTTCATCACTATCATTATTTTCTTCTTCGCAGTTCGAGTTGAAATATACTCGAATTATGTTTCCTTTTTCTCTGAACATCACAGAATATCCCTCTTCGTGGGCACCAAAAAGAATTCAATAATGAAATAGTCATACGGATACAACTCGTGATACTATTTTGCATAAAAATATTTTTCGATTGGCATACTACAGCTCACTGCTTTAACTTCGCTTATGACATTCATCCAAAACTACTAGAATTCTCTGGCAATGATTTCGCAAAGTTATCTCCACCATTCACGATTCCATGTCTAGGGTGGAGTATTTTCAATTGTCGAATTTTGGGAACTTTAGGAAGGTGCTAGTTATGAATAAAGAAAACTCTCACCTTGCACTTGATGTGCACGCTGAGCGCATCGAAAAACTTGAATGCATGGAAAAGGAGTACGTGATGACGCTGGCCTGTTGGTCAGACCCTGTCCCCTTCATTCATCAGATGTGAAAAATATAACCATAAAAAATATTAATTATCTGGCAATGATTCCACAGAGTTATCTCCACCACCAAGTATAGTTGACAGTACTATAGATCAATTGAATCAATTGCTTGGAACAGAAATCAAAAGGGAACATATCAATAATATTCACCTTATTGAAAATAACAAAGTGAATCTCACGATATTGGTGAAATTCTTGTCTTTCCTCTCGAAATTTGAGGTGATTAGAAGATGTAAAAATTTTAAAGGAACCGATATTAGTATTGCGGATGATCTGCCGAAGACAAGAGAAGGTTTGCTGAAACATCAGGAGCGAGCTAGAGAGGAAGGTTACAAGGCATATGTGAGAGGTAACTGTAAATTCTGTGACCCTCATTTAGAAAAATATTATACCGAAAATGAATCAGATAATAAATATAAAAATACTACCTCTTCATCTGGTGCCGACGTTGAGTTTACTGAAGAAGTTGACGAGAATATCAATAAAAATAAGAGAAAATTGCAGAAAGAGGACCCAGACATCATTCACTCTCTCAAATCTCACAAATCTCCAGGCATAGACCTAGTAAAAGCTAAAACCTTGAAGAATATAGCAGTAGAGATATCTCCGCTTTCAACTCATTTGATAAATAAAATAATAGTGGATGGGATCTTTCCTCCTCAATTCAAATCGGCCATCATCGAACCTATCCATAAAAATGGCGACAAAAATGTCATGTCAAATAATAGACCGATTTCACTGATTACAAACTTTGCTAAGATACTAGAAAAGATATTGAAAGTGAGGCTAGAAAATTATTCAGCACGCAAAAATCTTCTGTCACCCAAACAATTCGGATTTCAAACAGATGAGTCAACTCAAGATGCAATTTCTACCTTGACAAGACAAATGTATGACTCGCTCGATAAGGGTAAATTCTCCCTTTGTTTATTCTTCGATCTTGCCAAGGCGTTTGATACTGTGGACCACTCACAGCTGTTGGATGCCTTGGGGAGGATTGGTTTTAGGGGACATCTTTCATTCATACCTCGACTCACGCAGACAATACGTGATGATAGATGGAACTATGAGTGAGGAAAAAACTGTGATTTGTGGTGTCCCACAAGGCACGGTCCTAGGACCAACTCTGTTTGTTATTTATATCAACAGTCTGCTAACTATACAAACCTGTGGAAGCATTGTGGGTTATGCAGATGATACGGCAATATTCAATAGCGCAGATTCTTGGGATAACTCAAAACAAACTGTTGAAGCAGACTTTAATCACTCAATAGATTGGCTCAACCACAAACTAATAACCATCAACTTCAAAAAACAATGTTTCTACCTCTGAGCGATTACTCGTCAAATATGCCAAATTTCAACAAACTGACCTTCAATAACCACGGTAATACTCTGGGAATTTCAGCAACCGAACAGATTGAATATTTTGAAGTAACTGTGGATAAACATCTGAGGTGGAACAAACACATTGAGAACGTGACAAATTCTCTGAGGAGATTAATCTATAAATTCAAAGTATTAACAAAATATACTTGATTTTCCAAAATTGGTAACAACATATTCTGTTCTTGTTTCTAGATTATCTTATGGTATTTTAAGTTTGGGGGGAGGGGGGAGGAGTTATGGGTACACATCTGAGAAAATTGCAACAAATACAAATAACACTATCAGAAATAATTTTTAAAAGAGACAGAAAATTCTCGACAGATCTCCTCTATAATGAAACAAGAACGTTTGATATCAGACAAATGTTTTTCCAAAGTATATTGATATATCAATTTAGAAACAGAACGCAGTTATTCATGCTCTCACACACCTTTCAGACATGAGCTAAAATTCAAAATTATTCTCCTACACCCTTTTCCCATAAAGTTATAGGACAACGATGCCATGCGTACCTTGGGCCAAGACTTTCCAATACCCTTAGCTCAGAGCTCATGCAATCTACTACATTATTCATGTTTAAAGAGAAATTGGAACAATACATAATGAGTTTGCATCGAATGCAAGTTTACAATCTAGTTGATATGAAAAATGCTCATGAACTATAGAGAATGTATTTATACATACAAATAAATTCTTGATAATGACTAGCACAAGGTAAATGAGGGTAAGGTAGTATATTACTTGTATGTTTAGATCAAATCTTTGAATAGGTGTATGAACGCTCTGAACAGCGCAATAAGCTACATGAAAAATGAGCTTTTTTCCCTATGGACAAGTTTTCTCTTGTTAGGTTTTTGTTCATTTCATGTTTATTATTCATGTATTGAGTAATCTGTACCCACATTTAATGCTTCCGTGAAATAAATTGATTGATTTATTGGTTGATTCGCGATCCCATGTCTGAGGTGAAGTTTTTTCAATAGATGAATTTCGGGAACTTGAGAAATGTGCTAGTTATGAATGAAGAAGACTCTTGATGTGCAAGCTGAGCTCGTCGAAAAACTTGATGGCGTGAAAAAAAGAGTAGGTACGTGATGACGCTAGCCTGTTTGTGAGCCCCTCGCGTCTCGATTTATCAGAGATATGAAATATATCTATGAAGAATATCAATTCTCTGACGATGATTTGGAAAAGTTATCTCCTTTGTTCGGGAGTCAGTGTATGAGGTGAAGTATTTTCAATTGTTGAATTGCGGAAACTTGGGAGATGTGCTAGTCAGGAATAAAGAAACTTCCACCTTGCAATTGATGTGCACGCTGAGCGCGTCGAAAAACTTGAAGGCGTGGAAAAAAGAGATTTATCAAATGTATAAAATATATATATATAAAGAATACCATTTCTTACGCAATGATTCCGCAGAGTTATTTCAACTGTTCGCGATTCCATGTCTGAGGTGAAGTATTTTCGATTGATGAATTCCAGGAACTTGAGGAAAGTGCTAGTTGAAAAAAAAAAAAGACTCTCACCTTGCACTTGATGTGCACGCTGAGCGCGTCGGGAAACTTGAAGGCGTGGAAAAAAGCGTACGTGATCACGCTAGCCCGTTCGTCAGCCCCTCGCGCCTTCAGGAAGCGGCTGATCATCTTCGGCCGCACCACGCACCCAAACTCGTCCGACAGCTGGATCACGTGGCCGGCGCCGTCGGATGCTAGGCAGGATTTGACGCGCATGTCGAACTCGCCTGCAAAACCATGCGATTACTATTATGATTGTAAGCGATTTTTTTTTGTTATCAAGATAATGTTTAATAGAGAGTTAGTTTAATCACTTCCCAATAAAGTTCAATAGGTTCGGAATTTGAAAAATAGTTGCGCGTTTCATAGATAGATAGATATTTATTTAGCTCAATAGCTATCAGATTACATATAATCAACAAGTGCAATTATTTCAAGAACATAAACAATGTTATTGGATATTTGAGTGCATTTGCCTCAATCTAGTTTTGAAAACTATTAAATTTGGTGATGTATTTACAATCAATGGTAAGTTATTAGTGATGATTATATCTTTGTACTTAGTTCTATTACACAAATCAATTTGCGCCTCAAAAAAAGGAAAGTATTTGCAGCGTATGTAGACTTCAAACGAACCTTTGACTCTATTGACCACAATCATATTTGGCATAAACACTACCAACTTGGCATAAGCGTTAAATACTCGCGGTTACTGAAACAAATATATGATAAAGCTCATATGACCATGAAAAGCAACAACTCATTCAGCAAAAAATTCGATATCTCCAGCGGAGTTTTACAGGGCGAACCTTTAAGCCCAATACTATTCCCATTGTTTATTCCTGATATTGAGACATTTTTCGAAAATATGGGATGCACGGGATTCAATATATCAGAGAGTAGATATCTCAATTTATATGCTGATGATCTTGTAATTTAGAGCTATTCTCAAATAGATTCACAGCGTGAATTGACAGTTCTATCACAATACTCCAATCCTAACGACTTAACTGTGAACACAGAAAAAACGAAGTTCGTAGTTTTCAGCCGTGGTGGATTTGCGTTTAACAAAAATTTCAACTTCCACTATCTGAATGAACCTATTTAAATAGTCAATAAATTTGCGTATTTAGGAGTCATATTTTCCTGCTCAGTTCTTTTTCTTGAAATGGCAAAGACTACTGTCGCCAAGGCGAAACAAGCTCTTGCATGGAGCTACTATGGATCTCATGATTAATTCCAAAATGACGTCGTGGGACACGAGAATGAAACTATATGACTCAGTTGTCATTTCTTCTCTTTCGTATTGTATCGGAATTTGGGGCCATCGGTATATTGAATTTCTAGAAAGAATACAAGAAGCAAATTTCAAGATACTACTTTGTTTACCAAAAAATACTCCAGATCATATTGTCGGATTCGAAACTTCTACGACAAAACTGAGTCTTGATGAATGATTCTCGACTCCCTAAAATATGTCTTTTACGTCTGATACAGCTCTCCACGACAGAATCTAAATTCAATTGGGTAAAGCAAATGCATGATTACTTTTCCACTTTAGAAAGACGGGATGTATCAGAGAACCTTCTCAGAACTGATTTAAAAAACCAATACAATCTCATTCATCAGACTAATTGCACAGATAAGAACAGCTAATGAATATTTTTTTAAGTTGAGAGTCAATGGCTCAGCTCATATTATAAAAATGGATCCAACGTGCTCTATATGCAATATAGGTATAAATGAAACAATCTCTCACCTATTCTTTGAATGTCCCATGCATGAAGGACTGAGGATTTTGTTGAAGCCACAGATCACGGACATGAATGATTTATTAGAAACTCTCAATACTGGCACTCCTAGAAATCTACAAAATGTTGTACATTTCCTAGCAGGCCTACTGAAGCTTCGCTCTTTCGTTCTGAATGAATAGTAACACCGATGCATTTATTATAGTCTTTTCTTTGATATTGTTATTTAATATTATTACTTTCTGAATATTAGCTTTGCATGTTTATCCACCTTCCTCTTCATGCTTGTGGAAAAGATTATTGCCATAATATTTTTCTTTAATTCAATTTATTTTTTCTTTCTGCTTTATCACTGCTATCAGCCAGGTATATACGAAACACAAAACTCATTGTTATGAGAATTGTAAATTATTTTGAAACGATAAATGAGTGAGTAAGAAAGTAAGTGTTATTATACTCATTCAAAACTTCGATAAAGAGTGTTTTCTCAAAAGCACTAGTATTACACATTCGTATTTGATAATGATCAGTATATCTCAAATTATAATCTGCCAACTCAGATCTTTCAATGAGATTATCTCTCAAATATACAGGACCTTGCTTATTCACAATCTCATATAATAAGTATGACTCAGTAATAAGTTGACAAATATTCAAGAAATTTGGAGTTTCTAACATATATGTTATGCAAGTATATCTGTTGCATTCAAGAATAACCCTCATCACTTTGTTTTGAAGTAATCGCAGCCGATAAATATGTTCATCTGAACAAGAAATAAATATTGACATACAATAATTGAAATGTTAAACTTAAATTGTATTGTACACAGTTTTCCTGCACCGTGAGGAAAGATTTCTACAAACCAGCCAAGACTGAATCAAATAATTTTTTGTCCAAATTCTTTTCAATTTCACGCCTGTTAAGTATCATAAAAATCCAGTTCATTTGAAGAAAGAATTGAATTGCATTATTTTATTACCCAATTTGAAAAAAAAAGTGTGATTGTTTGCAATATAGCCATGCATGTTGAAGTCGAGAAGTATTGAGGAAATAATTATGTAATATACAAGGAAAGGAAGTTATGAACTTCAGCTCGAGGTTGTGTTGTCCCTCCTCACATATCGAAGGAAGACAAAACACCGTGATCTAAAATTCAATATTTTTTTCGTGTATAATTCAGTATTTCTCCTGTGATAGGAGAAAGGACGAATCAATATTGAAAAGATATCAAATAATAATTATTGAAATCAGAGAATTAGCGCCGTGAAATTTGAAATTTCCAACAGGAATTACACCTTCGTTGTAGGATTTTTTTTGCAGACATCTCTATAATTTTTCGAAGTAATTATTTAGTATATTTAGTTTAAGTATATTATTATACCTAACCTGATCACAGTTGAGACAGGTTTATATAGGACAAACAGGAAGGAATTCACAAGGTCGCATTACGTCTCATAAAAGTGATTGTAATTTGAAAAAAACAAGATGTGCACTCTCAGAACACACCACTAAATTTAATCATTTTGGAAATTTTACGAATATTAAAATTTTAGAATCACAAACCAGTTATCAAAAAAGAACATTCTTAGAAATGGTACATATAAACAACGAACCTAAGTGTATGAATAAACGATCAGATATTGCAAACCTCAGTACAATTTATAGTTATCTACTTACTTTTCAAAACAAATCCAATCATTAGTTTTCAAATTCAAATTAACCGCCTGTTTTCATGAACTGACATTGACCTCTGACAGTGAACACACGTCGTTCGGCTTTGACATAGCTCCTCCCACATTTTTGAATTCTAAACGTCACATCTATTTCCGTTTGGAACTGGTGAAGGTCGAACACCATGTGCTCATTTTCTTGACAAAGTTTCACAGGACCAGTAAGGTTCTAATAAGACTTGTAATGTAATGTTTTTTAATACTTTTTAATATGTTTTCAAAAATAGTGCAGTGTTTTAAGTTACTATGATGTGCATTAGCTGTTTTCCATGTAACCACTCAAGTTAGTAAGTTGTTTCAATTTTCATACAAGATACCATGCTTATAATGGATCTTTGTATTTTCAGATGTCTTGATAATGAAAATAAAATTTTTCGAAAGCTCGACAATTTAACAAAGAGTCTTTTCTCTACATTGGCCATTCCCTTTGACTGCAACCTCAAGGAAAATAGAGATTTTAGCTGTTTTCCTAACACATAGTTTTCTTCAACTAGTCCAGTCAGGAGACTACCCTTTCACTATATATATATATATTTATATATATATATAATAGTCATCAGGTCATTCGAAAAAACGAGTTGATATCATACCTACAATTAAGTAAAATTATCTTCATAAAATTCTCCTATATTATAATAGGTTCTATCAGTTTATACAAACTCCACAGCCTTTCTGAATGATTTCAAGGAGAATATCTGCTTTAGATATTGCGGTAGATGATTGAACATTTGACAACCATTGTATATGATCGAATCCCTTACAAGCGATGTCTTTGGTATCAGCAAGTTCAGGTTGCTTGATTGCCGTGTCACATATTCGGTCAGTGGCAATTGAAAATTATTGGAATACTTTTTTATCACGCATACTGTTTTCATTATGGAATTATGCGGAAGAGAAGAAGAAGATGGTGAACGCTAAACAAATCTCGTGTGAAGTGTACACGAAAAATATTCCTAAATCGCAGTATAAATTGCAATGTAATACATGTGTCAAGTGGTTTCATCCCCGTCGAAGTTAACGAAAAGGAAGTGAGATTTCTCCAAAATGATAAGGAATCTTGGAAATGTGCAAACTGCAAAAAAAGTGAGGTTGGGAAATCGAACAAAACCTCACATTCTTCCTCTTCTTTTCCACTGCCGTCGAACCAGGCCACTGCTATGGTGTTCACAAGCAATGACAGCTGTTCAACCGCACTGGCACAAGCCGTACCATCAAATAATAATAGAGAGTATGAACACGAAAGAGAAGCGGACTCATTGAGAGATATAATATTGGAACTACGCAACGACATGAAGGAGATAAAAACCTCTTTAAGTTTCATGAACGCTATGTATGAAGAGGAGAAAAACAAGGACAAAATTATGGCAGAAATGTTTGATGAAATCAAAATGGAAAACAACATCCTTAAAACAGAACTGAGTTACGTCAAATCATACATCAACAATATGGAATCTAATAAAATAAAAAATAACATAGTGATCACAGGTATTTGTAATGATAGCAAGGAAGATCCTGCAGCTGTACAAAGCAGGGTGTTAGGTGTTCTGAGATACATAGACGATACTTTACCAAATGAATGCATTGTATCTATGAAAATCTCTAACACACCCAAACCAACAGTAATAATAGTGATGGACAGTTATGACCATAAAATTTCCCTGATGAAAAAACGATACCAAAAAGGAAAACTAACAGGCATAACCTGTAGAATCAACAACAATAATGGAAACATATATGTAAATGAAGAGATGACAGTAACTTCATACAGGATCTTGAAAGAAGCATAAAAATTACGAGATATGGGCTATAATAATGTCTGGTATAGAGCAGAAAGCATAGATGCCAGATACAAGGAAGGAGAAAATGCAATCCGAATAAAAAATGAGAGGAAGGTTTGGATAAACGACCTAGTTATATATTACTCAATTCTATGGACCCAAACTCACTACTTGATGATTATCTCAACTGTGATACTAAATACTGTGACAGAATTAGTGATGTAAGTTACTTTAAGTCACCAGAAACAGACCTGAATATAATTCATATCAATGTACGTAGCAAAACCAAAACTTTGATAACTTCCTTGCATTTCTAGAATCCACAGAAACAGATTTTGATGTTATAGCCATGTCTGAAACAAACACTGTGCGCAACTTAACAAATTTCAACATTGAAACATATGAATTTTTTCATGATGAAAGCAATTTGAACAAATGTGATGGCTTCATAATGTATATAAGATAGCTTGGTAAAAAATTCTTCAATAATTAAGTTTTTTAAGAGTCAATCTTGCAAAAAACAATAGATCCATAGAAATAGTAGAACTATACAGATCTCCCTCTCTTGACCACAATACTTTTGTACCTGACTTAGAAGAACTTTTTGAACATAGTATAAGGGATCCATGTGATCTAGATTTTTTTATGGGCGATATCAATTTGAATATACTGGACAGCTCCAGCCAAATTGTGAATGATTATCTCGACCTTATGAATGGAAATGGATATAGAGCATTAATTGATAAAGTAACTAGACATGTATGAGAAAGTGCCCCATGCCTGGATCATCTCTTTGTGAAGTTTAATTCTAACAAAAATTTAGTTACATACTCGGTGATACTACGTAGTGATCTCACAGACCATTTTCCAATTCTTTTAAATGTTGAGTTATCCAATGAACCACAATGTGAGAAAAAACTTAAAACATTTAAAGAAGAAGTTAATTATACTACCTTGAGTAGACTGTTGGAAAATGAATCTTGGACCCATGTGCTGAATTCAAATGATGCCAATGAATGTGTTAAAATGTTGATAGATACTATAAAATGCCATATTAACCAATCCAAAACCAGGAAATATACAAAATGCAAAAAAAGACGAATTAAACCATGGATAACTCAAGGGATTATTATGTCCATCAGGGCCAGAGAAAAACTGAAAAAGTTTGCAACACTAAACAATAATGACACAGAAGCATTAAACAGGTATAGGGAATATAGAAGAAGGTTAACAAACCTAATCAAGTCTACTAAAAATAACTACTATAGAGCTATCCTGGACACAGTTGGTAATGATAGCAAGAAGGTATGGGCAACAATAAAACAAATTACAAGTGAATATAAAAAGTTCAATAAAATGAATAGTGTGATTGATGATCAAGAAATAGAGCAGACAGAAGATTCCAAAAAGGCAGAAGCTTTTAACAAATATTTCAGTGAAATAGGCAAAAATCTGGCAAATCAAATAAATATCCCCCCTACTGATAATAACCCCAAAACACACGCATCGTTACACTCTATGTTTCTACGACCTATAACTGAACAAGAATTACTAATGGAAATCAGCTCTTTGAAAAATGGCTCTGCAAGCGGTGAAGATAAAATTAGTGTTGCAATAATTAAAGAAAATAATCATGTACTATTAAAACCTCTATTACATCTTATCAACCTCATTTTTTTCAACCAACGAATATCCAGAAATTCTCAAAAATGCCATTGTTACCCCCATTTATAAATCTGACAATAAAAAAGATCTAGGGAATTATAGGCCAATTGCTATCACTAGTAATATTACCAAAATAGTAGAAAAATGCTTGAAATTGCGCATCAACAATTACCTGAACAAAAACCATCTGATATCAGAGAACCAGTATGGATTCAAACAAAAATTTAGTACAGAAGATGCAATATGCCACTTAACAGATGATATTGTCCAATCCTTCAATTCAAATGAAAAATGTGTAGTATTATTCTTGGACTTGATAAAAGCCATCGACACTGTGTCACACCCAACACTATTGAACAAACTAGAAAAAATGGGAATCCGCGGACCAGTAAATAACCTAATCAGATCGTACCTATCCGACAGAGTACAAAAAGTGAGAATCGGAGAATCAATAAGTAGGCCATGCTCAGTAGAGTGTGGTGTGCCCCAAGGCACGGTCCTAGGCCCCCTGTTATTTTCTGTATATGTGAATGACTTAACTGAATTACTACCACATGACAAGGTGGTCTGTTATGCTGATGACACTGCAGTTATAATAAAAGCCGAAACATGGGACATGGCATTTGAAAAGGCAGAAAGAGCGATCACTAAAGTAAAACTATGGTTGGACAGCAACCTGTTAACCCTAAATGCACATAAATCTAATTTCATTTGCTTCAAAATGACAAATAGAAATCCCCCTGCCAGAAATACAATAAGGATTCATAATCATGACTGCCGAGATATCTTTAACTGCAGCTGTGACTTGGAGATAAAATCGGTACAGCAGGTTAAATACTTAGGAGTTTATTTAGATAGTCACATGAAATGGTCTCGTCACCTAGAGTATACCACACCACGAACAAATTGAGAAAGCTTTTATACAAATTCTATCAACTTGAAAATATACTATCTAGAAGTACAGGGATCAACGTCTATAAGGCACTTGCAGAATCAGTTATAAATTATAGTATTGTATCATAGGGAGTCGCGTACAGAAACACTTTAGAACCACTGATCGTGACCCAAAAATATATTCTGAGAATTATCTTGGAAAAAAATAGACTCTACCCTACTGAAACTCTCTTCCGCGATGCGCAAGTACTAAATTTGAATCAACTGTACTTAAAATCTATCATTAGATTTATCTCTAACAATAATCGCTCCACTACTCGAATCACACATAGTAGAAATGAGCGATTAGCAATAAATAATACAGTAATCATCCCTACCACATCTTACACAGCAGTCCAAAGAAGCCCTATATACACAGGTCCAAAAATATTCAATATGCTTCCAAATGAGCTGAAAAATGAGCCCTTTCATTCAATTAGAAAAAAGTTCATAATTGGATTCTCGAAAACAACATAACATGGTTCATTGGATAATCTCATGGTCATTTGATAGTATATCGCATCCAACTCTTCTCACGTTAAACAGAATAAATAATATAACAAATGAAAAAATATATAAATATATATATTTGCAATATGCGTAGGTACTTATATATGTATAATCATTAAAATGTGTAACTTGCATAAAAGTGCACACACAGACTCTGAATTCCATCATGCAGTAATATAAGTATTATTCATGTTACAAATGTTAATATATAGTACCCCATATCAGATTTGTCCAAGTATCTTAACATGCATGCCAAATTATTAGTTTCTAGAAACAAATTTTTATGTTGATGTTACTTTTAATGTAGTGTAATTTTGAATGTTGAAAAATTGTGAATTGTAAACTGTAATTGTAATAATTGTGATTGTAATTGTAATGATTCTGAAAAAATTTTAATTGTAATAAGTAGGGTGAATATCACCCCTGTTCCCTCCACTGTAATAGGGTCTATTGTGGCTTCTAAAATTGTTCTAAAAAAATATTATGTTTACTTTCAGTTTAGCTTGATACATTATCAATCTGATATCAACACAATTTTAATGAATCATATTATTATTGTAATATATGTTATTATTATAGTTGTCTACAATAAGAATGTCTGTGATTTAATTTGTACATAAATCTTAGGGCTCGTTTTTGTGAGACCAAGATATTATTATGAAGTAGATAACTACTGCATGCAACCCAGAATAAAATTCCATATCTCAGGTGAGATTATGACAAAGAGTGATAAATACCCTTTGCTGCTGAGATACTCAACTCTGATGAGACCACTCTAATTGCATATTAACCAGAAGATACCATCAATTACCCAAGACATGAACATGTTCTTCAAACTTCAATTTTTCATTGTTATGCGCTTCTAAGCATTTCGATCAGTTTCTGTTTGCGATAATATCATTGTCAGATATTTGGATAGTAGAGGAAAACTCTATTCACATACTCACGGAATGTATCTCTTTTCAAAAACAAACAACCAAAAACCAGCTCAGAAGCAAAAATGTTACAAGAAGAATATCTAACCACGGAAAACGACGTCATCATGCACACATTGGAAAGAATTCTCAACTCGCTAGACCTTTTCAGTAGACGATATTATCATGTCAGCAATTATATTCAACTCGGAAGACTCACTTCTGTAATCATTTATAGCGACGACTAGAGTCAAGGTCGAACCGAGGGGAACGATTCCACTGACTGGTGGAGCCCAAGGCCCTTTTCCATGCTGAATCTCCATCCAGCAATCTACGTTGTCACCTGCAAATCAAACGTTCAGTGTTAATTTTTCATGATTTATATCAAAATTGCAATAAGGAAGGCAATATATATACATCATCAAATATGCCAAGATCATTACTAAGAATTTCAGCATTTAACAGTTGAGGGCCTCTTTGTAATAAACTTTGAGACTCAAGATTCATCACCTAACAGTCAAAACTGATCATGTCATGGTTTCGTAAATATTCATAATATTGCCAATTTTGATGGTACTCAATCTGAAAATAAATGATTTCAGAATGAAATTAATTAAAATAATAATTGATTACGGAATCAATGAGATAGTGCCAGAAGATTCTTCAACAAGATCCTATACGATTTTCTTCGTAGATTTCGTGTTTCGAATTTTTGGTTATCATCATACAAGGTGAGTTATTCTCACAATAACTTAACAAAGGAACAAAATATTATTCCGGTCATGATATTGCTTTCGATCAAGAGGCTACTCGTTCATGCCAAATTTGAATTTGATCGGTTGATCCCTGTATTTGATATGGCGGATTGAATTTGTTGTCAAAATCTACAAATCACTCTTTATGTCAGTAATGAAGCGGTTTTGGAATTTTTTATGGCATTTTTGAATCATATTGACTCTCCCTAAAACACCATGGGTTTTGTTGGAGTTATCTCCGGACACCCTGTATATCTTCTCTCCGTATCCTCCCTAACGATCTCTTAGAACATTATGGGTATGCGAGAAAACAATTGGCCAAAAAATATGAATTATTCAGGACCCAGACTGTATTCTATATTCTATCATTTCCAGTTACATTCGTGAATGTAGAAGTATTATTATATATAGAAAAAGAGTGAAAAATTTGATGATGAAGTTGAGAAGGACATGTTTTCATTATTTTGTGAATCAAAAATCACTTGCAAGAAATCAATGAGCTTACATCTAATTACTATGAAATTCATCATTAGTTTAATTCCATATGTTTTATGTATGTTGGTTAATATTTAGATATAAGAATATTACGGGTATTTTGAACAATATGTAGGAATATGGTCATATTCTCATACATCCATCATCCCATTCATCTATCTATTCATCTAATTATCGATTTTCCTTTTTTTTGTTTTGTTCATCCTTTTTTCATCTCAATTCTCATGTCACGCACAAATATATAGGCTGGAATATATTTTTAGGGAATAAACTCCATTATCATTATTATTATTATTATTCCCTTTTGTGCGCTCCAAGGGATGGAAAAAAATTGGGATTTTGGAGACCAATAATGAGAGAACCCGAGGCTGAGGTAGTTGATGATATTATTTTCATTTGATTACTGTGCACCTGATATCACGGTATACATCAAGAATATTATGTCATTGAATAATTTGATTCGAAAACCGTGAATGAAATCACTATTCATCGAAAATGGAATTGTGATGTCGCAATGAATATTGAAAAATCAAGTTACATCAATTCAAACATTTTTAAACGGTCCTGTCATTGAACATGGAATTGAGAATCATAAAATGGTTATAATGCAAATCATATGTTTCGCTTGCTTTTCGGAGGGGCAGTTGTGTTCCTATGTGTTCCTATGTATCAGACGATTGTTTGTTGACTGAGTGATCCAATTATAAAAATCACAATTTCTTTACCTATATTGAATGGGCACACATAATGAGTTATCCAAATCATATAATATCTAATTTATTTCGAGATTGAGAAAAAAATGGCAGTTAATCAATGATTAAACAAGTTCACTTGATTAAGTGAGTCATAGGAATATGGGATATTATATGAAAAATATATATGGTCCAATGAGAGCGTCTCAAATCATTCGATTGAACCTCAAAATCATTATACAGTCTATTTCAGGAAGTCCGGACTGATTGATGACTAGCAAAATTTTTTATTACAATTATTGAACCACCTGTTGGTTGCCAACATGGAATATGCCAAATTACGAAAAAAAAAACTGAAATCATTATGCTGGCGAGTCGCTCCACTTCAAGGTCAGATTTTCTGCTGCTTCGTGAATATTCAAGCGTATTTCCCAAATCAAACCCACATCTTTGGCAGAATTTACCGAAATTATTCAGGTGTTGATATTTTGTAAACTATATATAATATAGTCAATAGAGATTTTCGAGAGGATTAGAGAGAATCTATCTTGAGTAATCTAGTGAATGATTTCCAACATAGCGGGTTATGTTAATAATGAATGATTTTGTACACTGGTCGAAAGACGCCATATATCCATCAAAATAATGTCCACTCAAGAACAATAGCTTCTGAAGACGCGTGATTACCGATATGATATGTCCATATTTTACAGAGAAATAAGAACTGACATCCACAGTGAGTAGGGTATATTCTTCGAATAGAACTCCCAATATATATTTCAATTTTGATGAAATCTCCATGGCGACCTGAATTCAAGAATGTATTATACAAAGGGTGTGTATACAGTCCGTCTGTTTCAAATTGAGTGCTCTCACGATTGTAAAGTATAGAAAATAAATTAATTTTTATCTATGTAATCAGATCCTGAGACATGTCCTTAGACTGGTAGATTTTCATTTTCAATTTGTTGAATTTATGCGTAAAAATCGAATATACATGGTGATAAATACATGATGATTCACGTTTGAGTTCTGATGTCCACGCCAACTTTTTCAAATATATATATATAAATTATTCATTATCAATTCAGTGCTTTCGTAAAGTAGTGGATGGATTCGTTAAATAAAAAAGGAAACATTTTCGCTGAAAACTCTCAGTGCCGTAGAATTTCATGTTAATTCAGGCTTTCTTACAAATTCAAAAAATATAAACATACATAATAATCCGTGTTGGAAAAATTACGTCTTCAATATTTTCCAAATGGAAGCATCATTTCACGATAGCGCTGAATTTAAAAGGCACACTTTATAGACACGTCAGGCAAGAATATTTTTCTGTGTACAGCGTCGTTGTCTCATGCACCTACGTGAGTGAGCAAGTTATAATCCCTTCGATCGCGCAAAAAAATGTACTCGCTCGAAGAAAGAGTTGAAGCGATACGAAGCGTATGACGACGTTCTTCCTCTTCGTTGAAATGCCCATGAACGCGGTCTTTCTATAGGAACATTATTCTTGCCAGACGTGTATACAAACCATATGAGTGCTTCAATTTCGAATTGATTTTTCCTTGAGAATTCCAAGAATCCAATGATATATGGGCTCGTCCATTTGAAAAGTTGTCGCAAACGTCATAACTCAAAGGTGGCTCACCCTGTATATTCAATTGTTCTTCTCAAATGTGGCGAATTGAGAATGGAAATCGACCTGCTTCTGGAGATTCCTCAGAAATGGATAGTATAGATAAAATAGTTCATTATCTACTTTATTATGTTACAAGTGTTACAAACGTCGATTAATAACGATTATTCTGAGCACGAGCGCAGAAGAGCAAAGCGAGTGTTTATTAAACAAATGTCCAGGAAGTTTATAGACGCGTTACATACTATACTTCTTCTACAAACTCATAATTTCCCTATTCGACAAGATCCCATAATTCCGAGAATCAGATTGATTTACCTGCTCAGCTACAGAAAAATTCGAAGGAAATGGGGATAGAGAACAGAATACATAATAATATGAAACTGCATGCAACCAATGAGACACGTATACGTTATATTGGTTGTAGATGTCTCCAGTCTATAGGTATATAGGATGCATGCATTTTATTCAAGATGGCTCTGTTAACTAACCTTTGTGAATAAGATAGTAAGTACGTTAGTAGATTATCACTCTTCGATTTTGTGAGGTGTCAAAGTTGTCGATTTCTCAGGTTTGTATCCTTATTTTGATGTGCGTTTGAGGAATGCAGATAAACAAATTTTTTGCTAACATAAATATTGTGTTCTACGTTTATTGTCATGCTTAGCATAATATAATAAATTGCCCACAAAAATGAGAGCTTCATTATTTAACAGAGTTCTTGGAAATATGCTAGTACCTACCTAGAACTTCCTCTTCGATTTCACTTTCGTCCACATTTTTGGTAGAGAAACAGAAATTGTTTGAATAATTCTGATTGTCACCGACTGCAACAAAATTCGAAAATGACAGTTGATTGTTCCCAAATTTGACAGGCTGGACAGGACTCAAACACCTGAAGGAGAGTTAATTCTGCTCTTCATGAAGGTTTCAAAATTTGAATAATATATAGGGTGTTTCGCTGCAAGATTCGTCGCGGTCGTCATAACTCAAACATGGATCACCCTGTATATTCAAGTTTCCGTGACAGATGTGGCTAATTGTTATTTAAAATCGACCTGATTGAGGAGATTTCTCAGGAATGAAAAGTGATGCTGAGAATGAATTTATTCAGTACTTTACGAAAGCACTCAATACGTACAGTATATATTCACAGGGTCATTCAACGAACACCTTGCACCCCGATTTAGAGCATCAAATAGAAAATCTGAGGAATTGAGGAAATGTATGATTCTGGGAGTAACGACTTGTCTTCTTTCTTCATCCTCGTAACCTCAAGCCTTTACCAGGGGGAAGCACAACCCATGGAATTCAAAAAAGGGTGAGGGGTGTTGCAACACCTCTTTCTGAAAATTTCTTCGAGTTCTATCCGACACTGTTATTTCGCGTCGAAATTTTCAACCCTAACAAAATGAGATCGAAAAGTGGAAGTGGCAATTTCGAATCCACCTCGAAAATATCATTCTTATCAGATTAGTGGACGCCCTATTTTTCATTTACCTCAGTTCATCATGATTATTCAATGATCGATTTGAAACTGTTGGAACGTTGTTGAAAATTCACGATGCACTGGGAAAAATCGAACAGATATGACGTCCACAAACTTTTTTGAGACGAAAAATAACTAATAAATTGATGATTTCACCCTGATATGCCTCTAAATCGGGGTATAAAGTGTTTGTTGGATCACCTTGTATTTTGTATTATAATAATCCGATGCAGTGAAATACATTCTCATTTTCCACAGAGCATAACAATATAG